CTCAACTTTTTAAAAGAGCAATAGAGCCAAAGAGTAGTTCTGATTGCTAATCTAAAACTAGCTTTCCCTGTAGTAATGAAAAGTGGAAAAGTTAGAGTTAGAGAAAGATAAGAATTCACAGTAATTTGAGCTAATTAAAATGTAACAGGAATCACACGTATAATTTAGTTATTAGGGTCTAAAGAGAATTCAGTCATATTTATATTGGCATATTCATATATTCAAAAGACGGCATTTCATTGGGGAGAGAGAGATTAAGAATCATATAATCTGAAGAAGTGTTGAAAATACTAAGAAACATTGAGGAAACAAGGAAAGTCTAGGGTAAGTATATGCAGGATTGTCATGTGATAAAGAGACTAGAATTTTTTCCCCTGTCTATCACATTATAGAGAATATTTGCATCAATAATACGACCTGCCTGCAGGAACAGACAATTTGCCTTGTTATTGTTAGGTGCCATCCAGTCCTTATGACTTACAGCAGCCTTATGCACAGCAGTGATAAACACCGCCGGGTCCTGTGTTTGCCCCGCTGTTGCAACCACAGTGTCAATGCATCCTGTCGAGGGCCCTCCTCTTTTCCACTGCCCTTCTCCTTCATGAAGCACACTGCCCTTCACCAGAGACTGCTCTCACAGGACAACATGTCCAAAGTAAATGATACCAGGTCCCCACTAGGGTTGCCTTTAAGGAGCGCTCTGACTGTGCTTTTCTAAGACAGATTTATTTGTCCTCTGACATTCCCTGAGGCTTTTAATATTCTTCCCCAGCACCATGATTTGAATGCTTGGATGCTTTTTCTGCCTCCCTTAATTAATGTCCAACTTCCACAGGCTATAGCACCCATATCTTCAGCAATTTCTACATGAGGGCAAATATGAGGTATGATTATGTCATAAGAACAAGTTGTTCTTGGATTAGGGCTATGATTAAATTAAAGGTAAAAATCTAACCATCGTATCATAGGTAGCTATGATAGATATGTCCCTGGTGCGCTTTAGAGACATCATTATGACTTTGTTGAGGGAGTGTATGGTCGTTCATCCCCAGGGGTTATATGGCAATTCTATAATCACAGACTTTTCGATAGGCATTTACAGTCTTAACTGTTGCACCACTAGTACACCACTGCATATGAATATTTACATACATATATACATGCCTATGTACAGTATTAATAATCTTTGAAACATGTTTCTTTCAAATGATGTGATAGATTTTGTTTCAGTGTTTGGTTTTTCTCTTCACTTACTCTGCACATTCCAGCTGTTTACAATTTTTAGCTTGTTCATTGCTCCTTGGTTGTTCACATATCACCAGCTGGTCCTTGGTATAAGATCACTCTTAGTTCCCTATTATCTCATTTCTCTTCAATTATTCAAATCATCCATAGCCTTCTCTTCATTCATATCCTTCTCACGTATTTAGCTTCACTTTTCTTTCCTTAAAACAGTTTCACGTAGGGTTAGGATTAAGGTTAGAGTTAGGGTTAGGGTTAAACAAACAAACAAACAAACAAACAAACAAAAAACAGTTTTACGTTGTGCCTGTATCTTAGGATGGGTTCTCCAGAGACGCTAAACCACTGAAGCTTATATTCGCTTGCGTATGAGTGCAAATTTAAGTCCCAAAAATGATTCACACAGTTGTGGAAGCAGGCCAGGACAAGTCTGCGGCTCATGTGATAGACATGGGTTTCCCGAGACTATTGGAGCTTCAGGGACTGATTAAATAAAAGAACCAAAGGTTGATGTTAGCAGAAGTGACTGAATCCAAGGTGAGCAGGTCAGATGGCAGGCTGTTGATGGCTCCCGTGGTCAGCAGGTCATAGCGTAGGCCATAAACTCGATGTAAAATAACCAAAGGTCAATTAGCTAGATGAAGTATCTTGGTGTAGTAGAAAACAAGTAAGCGTTTCCATAGCACACACTTATATTATAAGGTGCCTATATCCATGAGGATACATTATCAGGATCATGACCTGAAACTCATAAAGATCAATATTGTATGCGTCAATGAACTGGAATGGACTGGTACCAGACATTTTTAATCAATCACATGATTTACTTTGCCAAAAAAGACAAATTCAGGAACAATGGCATCAAAATCATCAACAATAAGGGCACTTCAAGATTTATCTTGAAATAAACTGTTGTCTGTATAGAATGATACTTATAAACCTACAAGGAACTCCAGTTAATACAATTATTCTTCAAATCTACACACTGACCACTAAAGCTTGTGGTGGCTAGATTTTATGTCAAATTGTTGTGTTATGATGATGGTAGGGGTACAGCCCAAACTATCAATCAGATCACAGCATGATGATACCTTCTTGGGGCGTGGTCTTTTGCTTAAAAGCAACTCTGACATCTACCTTCCCGACATGATCACTGAAGACAGATGTGTGCATAAGAAAATGTGGTGAAGAAAGCTGATGGTGCCCGGCTATCAAAAGATATAG